AATAATAATCTCTGCTTCCCAACCCTATGAGTTCATCCCTCGCCAATCAGCAGACCCAATTCCCTAGCCCTTTGTTCTTCAAACTATTTTTAAAAACTCTTTCTGCTAAATTCTCAGGGAAATGGACTTTAGAAATTCCTCCCATGTCCTTGCATGGTGCCTGGTGATATTAAACTCTTTCTGTACTGTAACTCCTACTGTCTCAGTAGTGGCTTCCTCTTGAGCAACTGGCAATGAACCTGGTTGGGCTATAACAATGTTAAGCAATGTTTCACTGTTGCATAACCTCCAACAGAAGGGAAGAGCAACTGCTATGAGTTCTTCTGAGTATAATAGTGTAATTCAACAAAATATTCTACAAACTATAAAAGTCAGAAGTTGGAGCCTTTCTTCATGGTCCATGAAGGCTTTATTTTCGAAAATCCTATAAATTGCATATAAAAGGGTCTGAGTGCTACCAGATGAAGAGGGACTGGCCACCTGTCACTGTCAGCCAATATGCAGAGATGGGGATAGGTCCACCAATCTTTGTTAACGGAAAGGCTAGCAAAAAGCCTTTTGGAGAACAGTGATAGTAGCCTCTTTATAACAACATTCCAATTCAAAAGTTAATCTCTTAAATGAATGACACTAAATTACTCAGATATATGCTTTTGGTTAAAGGTGAATTTATAAAACAAGGACAATGAGAGACATGAGGTAAGGTCTTATAGGACCTGAACAGATCAGACCAGCTGTGTTGTGTCAGTGAGAGAGGATACCAGAGAGGGGCGAGGTCTGGGAGAACAGGTCTTCTCAGGGAGACCATGAGGATGCACCTGCAGTGCCCTCTCTATAGTGACTCAGCTCTTGGGAATTTATAGGCTTAACCTCTTGGAACTTGGAAATTTCTGAGTTCTGTGAAATCCTGTAGTTCTGTAGGAGCTGGAGTAGCATCTCCTGCTTGATTCAAACTGGCCAATGGAAAGGGTGCCTGTGGGGTGGAACTTTTTGACTGTCAATAAAAAGGGAAAGACCAAGCCAGTCGGGGAGCCCAGCCATTTGGAAATCTTCTATGCCATAAGCTCCCGGCCGATGGATAAAGCCATTCCTCTTATAACTATGGTGTTCGGGTGCTCTTTCTCTCCATTGGGCCTCATCTTCCTGCAACATTTTTGTTTCCCTGACCGGGAAGCGAGATCACCCTTGGAGAGAACATGCACCTGGTAGTTGCCGCCAATCCTCTGGACACCCACATGGGGGCCCTGATTGGCCTGGGCGACATGAACCACTGAGCGTGCCAGAGAGGCAGTTTGGCCTCCCTGTGTGGACACCTCGACTGGGCTGAGAAGGGACCCCGGCGGCGGGTCTTTAAGGAGTCAAACACCAGGAGGAACTGGCATGCAGGAACAGGTACCTACACAGGGAGATGTCTAAAGCAAGGTAGGATCCATTTGGGGCCCACTACAATTTTAGTGGAAGAGGAGCCTGATCACCTCCTGGGCATTAGATCGCCCGCAGATCTGTTGACAGGTGTGTGAGACCAGATCTGCTAGATCGCCAGCCAATCTGTGAAAGGTATGTGAGAGTGTGTGGATGTGGTGTGACTGAGAGAACTCTGAGGGTGGAGTTGGATCTCCCTTCACAGGGCCTAGGGGAGTGTTGGTTTGCCTCCTATGGCTTAGTGGCAGCTCGAGTGGGAAATCGAGGCTGCCCAGGTTAAGAAATGCTTTCGAATTGTATGCATGTGAGTGCTTAGAGAATGACTGAGATAGGTAACAATAGGTGGGCTTTGCCCCCACCCCCCCATTCACGGGTTGAAACGAATGTGTGAGTGTGCCCTTCTTCCCTGCTCCAACTTTGCCCCGTGGCTATTCTGAGGGAAACTGGAAGTTCCAGGTTTTCTGCTCTCTGTCTTTGGTGACTGTCACGTGACCATGTCGTCTTGGGGGAAAATGGAAAGACATTAGAAAGGCTTTTGTAGTTTTGTTACTGGAATTTCTTCAGTAAGTTTTTGGTCTCAGGAATTTGAGAATTGAGACTGCGGGCCACAGATCAGTGATGAAATGGCATTTTGTTGAACTGAGGGACATGCAGATAGAGTGGAGAGTGCCAGAACTATAGGCAGAGGAGCCATGCCTTGGAAAATGTTGTGGTCCAGGCAGTCCGGTGAGCTCGGGATGGCCCTTGAAAATCTGGAGGAGGGAGTGTAAATCTCATGGGGAACAGTGCTGTATCCATATCAGCAACAGGTCTCCTGGGTGGATAGCCTCCGAAAGTGGGGAGGAGGCCCAGGTCAGAGATTTCTTGCATGAGTCCCTTATCTAGAGGTAAATAGTTGGCCCTGAAAGATATTTTAGCTAGGACTTGATAGATGAAAAAAAATACCTTTACAAACTGAATGGATGTTCTAACAAATGGATGAATGCAGCCCCTCACCTTGGACAAGGTTGTTAGGTCTTTGCTGAGGTTTTTGTCTGAGGAGAGGATTAGGGTGTGTGCTCCTTAGTCTGGGTGGAACCAGCCAAAAGGTTTCAGGCTGCTTTATTCATGACCTGGCTGGAGCTGGGAGGGTTTGTACCCAGAGATGGGAGTCTGATATCTGAGCCTATCTGAGCCTGAAAAAATG